GAGTAGAGAGAGTAGAGAGAGAGAGAGAGAGAGAGAGAGAGAGAGAGAGAGAGAGAGAGAGAGAGAGAGAGAGAGAGAGAGAGAGTGCATGAGAGATGAAACGAGTGATGACACCCACTAGAGAATTTTAACAGTTGTTAACTCTATCCCTTCACCTCTTGTCCGACAGTCGTGGATGTCCTCAGCTACTCACCATCGACATATCATGGACGGACATCTCTGATGCTGGGCTGCAGGCACTCAGTAAAGGATGTCCGCGTCTGCGCGCCATCATAGCCAAGGGCTGCCACTCGGTGAGTCACGTGACGCGGCGTCTAGCCGCTCCATGGCAACGCCGGTTAACACTGCCGCCATGTTTATTTAACGTATAATTTTTATTTTTCTCTCTCAAAAATTTCAATTATTTTATTTCAATTCATCTAATTATTAGCTTTATGTTTAGTTAACTGAATTTAATTGGTTTATAACTGGTTGGTAATTAACTTAATTTTGATGTTATATGGTTTGCCGCACCTGGTTGTTATACGTTTATTTCGTTTGTTACTGTTATTTTTGTGCTTGGTTAATCTTCGATTTAGTTTTTCTTTTACGCATGCTTTCTGCTAAGTTTCTATATTAGTTGTATATACGTTGTATGAAAGTTCTATATAATGAAGTGTCTATTGCGCGAAATATAAGCAAAACAAGAAACAAAAACATTAAAAAAAAATTTCGCCACGACTGTATCGGTATAACGTATATATATAACGTCAAGAGCTAATAAATAAATTATTATTACATAAGATATTATTTAATTAAAATATTATCATTTATTAGCTCGTGATAACGTGAGTATACCGATCAGAACCGACGCGGTTTTGAACAAAGAGAGCATCTCTCGTCGTCGGTAAATGCTTAACGATGTCGGACGACATAATCTGTGTACGCGCGTCGCCAATATTCCATTCACGAGAATGCTATAGATATCCTTGAAGATAGACGGGAGAGAGATAATGGTGTGTGCATGTGCGTGAGCGCGTGCGCGTGCGCGCGTGTGTGTGTGTGTCTTTATGCGTGTGTGTGTATGTGTGTGTGTGTGTGGTGCGTGTGCGTGTGCGTGTGCGTGTGCGTGTGC